CCTGGGCGATGGGGTGGGGCGGGGGGAAGAGGCCAGGCACTGAGCACAGTGGCGAGGAGTCTCCCTACAGCTCCCCGGCCCCACGCCGTCCCGCTGCCAACTTGAAGGAAGCCCCAGTCCCGTCCCGTCCCGTCCCCCACCTTTTCGTTTTTCCTTTAATTTTTTCCTGTTCCCACACAAATACATATATATGTGTGTATATATATATGTATATACATATATATACACACTATATGTACACACTATTTACACAGTCTCTCTCTATATATACACACACACAAGTATGTACATTATCTATATATAAGGGAGCATTATATAAGGGGCTACAGTGCAGGAGAGTTATGGGGTGTCGTGCAAATGCCCTATAGAGTACAGGCCAAGCAGAATGTCTGTACATCTGCATTTATTATTTCTTGGAAGTAGTTGGAACAGACAGGGTTTGCCCATCAGAAGGAGCTGAGTTCCCAAGCTGGGAACACAACTGGCTGTGCTGATTTACAAGGCTTCTGGCTTCCCCAGTGAATCCCAGGTGAAGCAAGGCTGCCTGCTCCCCGCATGATAGCCAAGGCTGGGCAGGGACGATGCCCCCTCACTGTGGGCTCCAGCTCCTAACAGAGCTGGGCAGTATTTTTTAACAACTTGTGGGAAAAACAGGGTTTTTTGGAGGGTGCTGCATTTATGTACATACTCAGGCCACCTTCAGCAGAGAGTCCCTCGGAAATGAAAACGGGGGAAATGGGTGGGAAATGTTTCATTTCGGCCTTTCATAACTTCAATGTGAAGTGACTGAAGCAAAAGGCTTACAAACACATATTCAGGGACTTCTGCCTCCGCCTGCCCCGCTGGCAGCCGCGAGAGGGCGATCTGTATCCATTCACCCACCCATCCTTCCATCCGTCCAGGTAAAACCATGGCCAGGTACCGACGCAACACACACACCGATAAATACAGGGTATCGTTTACAGAAGATATCATACATTATCCTATACACGATATTACACCGCTCTCTACAGTGTGTAGCACCTATAGAAGGGCCTCCGAATGTCTATAAAAATACATATTTATATACATATACTACAGATACACACAATATATATTTACACAAACGCTATATATATACGCTACATATATGCACACTATATACACAGTCTCTCTATATACAAACACATATATACATTATCTATATACAACGGTTATAATTCTACAGTACATTGTGTAGATACACACAATATATATTTACACAAACGCTGTATATATATACACATATATATATATATATACACTACATATACCCTGCCTCCCAGGAATGCTGTGCCTGACGAGGAACGCCTACTCAATTTCACAGATCCATCCATTCCCAGAAGAATATTGCCACTTTTGATGACTCTGTGGATCACTAGAATTGAATGAAGGAAGTCCAGTCCTTTCAAGCACTGAGATTAAACACAGAAACACAAGGAGAAAATTAATTAGGCTGATTTTTTTCCCACAAAAAAGGAAATGGCTCTAAAAGATCAAATTTCCAGGTGACACATCAATTGCAGACATACCTCAAGTGGCAAAGTTTGGAATAATAAATAAAATAAAATGAAATTAAACTAGAAAGGAAAGTACAACAACATTATAGGAGTACAGGAAATGCAGTGAGACTGGCAGGCCGTTCACTTGGATGCTCTTTTCTTCTCCACATCATAACAGCAATGCAGAAACAAAGCTCTGAAGAGGAAATCACTCCTGTTCTTCCAACCTTTTGCAAAGAACCATCCTGTCCAAGCTGTCAGAAGCAAGGGCAGCATCCCTTACCTCCCAGCTGATAGAGGCTATCATCTCTTGCTCAAGAGCTTGAATGGAGCTAAGGTGAATCCCTCCACATATTCCATCACCAGCCAGAGTTCTTCATTGAAAAGGTAGCTGAAAGAAGAAACCCACAGCATGGAGATGAATGGGCCCAGCTAAATGACCTTATGGGAAAGACTGCAGTTGAGTTTTCTTGCCAGGTCACTTGTAAATGAAGAGAGAATCTGAGCAGGCTAAATGAGAAAGGCTCATCTGTGAAAAAGGAGATGTCCTAGATGGCAAGCAAGGCAAAAATGCAGTTTAGTGACAGCAGAGAGAAATGTGGAGCCAGAATATTGCCATCAGCTGCTTCATCATCTTAACTCCTCCCTTCCAGCCTGAACTCCAGGAAGCAGGCAACACAGACTTCTCCACGGGAGGAGAGTGTGCACCACTGAGGGCGGATGTTGGTCAACCCCTTGGAAAGCATTGCATAAAGTGCATTCAGAAACAGGGAAAACCATTTAAAACCTGGCACATTGTGTGGTTGTGCAAACAAGAGCCTAGTCTTCCTGGCATCCACAGCAACAGAAAGTAGAGGGAAAACCCCAAGGGCAATAATTTCTAGGTGGGTTTATCAGCACGTATCATTAAGGCAAAGATAAGATGATCAGTTTGAAAAAAAACAGACCCCAAAAGAACAGGGAGGTAGTGAACTGAAGGGCTGTGGCTTTAGGAAGACATGGCAGATGGAGGTTTTGGAAGACACGCTTCAAACTACCTATACCAGAAAAGGCCAAGGCAGACACAAGACAAGCTCCTCCCTGAAGGAGCTAAGAGACCTGTGCCCTGCTCCTCCCATCCGCTGCTGGTGGAAGAGTTGAGAAATAATGAAGAGCTCCATGTTCTTCCAGTGACCAAAGTGGCTTTTTAGCCCTTGGCTTGCAGTGTGTCAATGATGTGATAATCCCAGAACCACTCACCTGTCTATATAGCGAATGATATTGGGGTGTCTCATGCTACTCAGGACAACTTTTTCGCTTTGATGCTTTTGGTCTCCAAGTAAAATCTTCTTGATGGCCACCTAAAAGGAGATTGAAAGCCACAGACTTGAGAAGTCTGTTGCACAGGACCACAACGCACATGGAGCAGGTGTCTTTGGAATGATGGAGCCAGGGTGGGCCAAACTGCCTGGGATTAGACACCAGAGCTTCTTAACTGACAGGACAAGAGGCGATTCCTCCACTCGCCCTTGTGTGCCAGTTACAGGACACATGGCTATAGACATTTTGCCTTGTAAACTCTGGACAAATGGTCTCCAAACAATCAATCCATAGTGTGGGAAATCCCATCCTGAAAGGTCATGAGGGTTACACAGAAAAATATAATCCCTGTACTTTGTAACATGTTGAAGTTGGATTTTGCTACTCTAAAGAACGTTTTTAACCCAGTTCCTATTTGCAGTTCTTTTCTGGCTTTGAAAAGGAATAACCCATTCTAGGGTATTTTATGGATGTGGCCGGGGTTATGAGCAGCGCTCAGGGCCTTTAGATCCCTTGCAGACTCCTGTGTAAGTGCACTTCCCAAGTGCAGCACTGCAGCTGGGTAAGGAGCCACCAAGTAGCTGATGCATTAGCATAGTCAGTAAATAAGTCTGAGCAAAGGTGTCCTTCTCTGAAAGATACCCCTGCCCTCCTTGCCTTCTTTTGGGGACTTAATAAGGACAAGGTCTGTCCAAACCCTGTCTTGCAGGCTGACACTTGTCTGCCCTCAGAGGAACAGTCTCTGCAGCAAAGATCTCGTGGCCACCCAGAGCTGTGGCCACAGCTCCCAGCGGAGGGGAAAGCACTCGAGAGCTGCACAATCTGCCGGGGGTGCTGGCCCTTACCTGTCCTCCTGTGGCAATGTCAACTCCTCGGAAAACTGTTCCACAACTCCTAGAAACAGAGCAGCAGCCAAGAAAGGAGAAGGCGTTTAGGCCCTGGGTGAGAAAGCCAGCCCAGAGAGCAGAGCTCTGCTGCCCAGAGTGTTTATAAAACACTCGGCTTCAGCAGCAGCCCAGCAGCCCAGCAGCCCAGCAGCCCTCTGCCATGCAGGGTGGCCAGGAGAAAACATGGGACATACTCCACGTCCTGCTCCTTGTTACAGGCAAGAGACTGCCAGCATTGAGTTGTCTTTGACAATGCCTTCTGACCACAGTTATTAAATACTGATCAGGACTGACAGACAGGAGGATGTAAGCCCAGTGTCTGCCCATGTTTGCAGCTTGCCCGACTGCATGCTTGATAGGACACCAGCAAAATCCCTGGCCCATGGTTTTGTGGAAGTAGCTGAGATTGGACTTACCCTTGGCCAATTTGCTGCTGTAAAGTGTATTTCTTCGCAGGGTTCCCCTCACTCACAATGCCCTCTGAAAGAAACAACATGAAAGATGCTCGTGTGAAACAGAGATACCACCTTGCAGCAGATCCGAAAGGCAGCCCCACTGTGCAGGGCTGTGAGCCCTTTGTAGTCAGCTGGTAACAACAACAACAACAACAACAATAACCACAACAGCAGAGGCAGCTCCGAAGCACAGGTGGCTCTACAAAGACTGATTTTCCACAGTCTTTTGAGGGTTTACCTTGTCAGGAAACTAAGCCCATGGAGGAATGCTCAGAGGAGACAGAAATCAGAAAAAAACAGGCACCAATGCAAGAGTTTGTTGTCTACAAACTTTAAGGAGAGCTGGAGCAACAGAGCCCTTATTTTCTTGGGAAGAAAGACTCCGTGTGATTCAGCCAAAGGTTTAGTAGTTTTGAATGCACTAAGTTAAGTGCATTAAAAATTAAATTTTGACAATAAATTGAGTTTTGGAATCTACTGTTATGAACAAGTGCCATTTTCAGAACAGAAAAAATATTATCAGGTGTTTACAGGAGAGGGTGGAATCTGCCCAACCTTTCAGCTGTTTGCCAAAAAAAGCCTTTATGTTGTTCAAGAGCAGCATCTCAAGTTCTAATCCCTGAGAATGGGGCTTTAAGAACTAGGACCCTCATCACGGATCAGCAGGCTGAGTTCTGAAGAGGACCTTACCTGTGCCATTTGAAGAACCACACTGCTTGTCTTCAACCTTAGAGATTTCAGCAAAGTCTTTGTACTCCAATGACTTCTGAGTCAGTAGAGTTTGGGACAGTCACCATTCTGTCCCTTGCAAAGTTGGATAGTTACACACAATAACAAAAGGGTCATTTGACACAAGGCCACTTTCTTGCTCAGTTTGCATAGATTTTCTCAACTAGATTGTGCAGACAAGCAGGTAACCCCTGGGCACAGTTATTGCTATGTGTCCTGCAAGGGACACTCTGGCTCAACTTGGAAGTTCAAAACCCCTCTAAGCAAGGTCAACCCCAGGAGGATGCAGGCCTGTGTGTTGTTCTGAAGAGCACTGAGGTGGAGGTTCTCAGCACCCAGACAAGAGCAGGGACACAAGGGGCAGAGCGCTGATGGACTCAGCTCTGGCTTGCAGG